ACGAAATTTTTCTCTCCAATGGAAAGAAATTTAAAAAAAAATAGTAGCAGACTGAAATGTGAAGTGAAGTGAAGTGGAGAAGTGGTGCTTTTTCCCCCTTGATATATATGCCACAAAACACGACTGGCTTTACTTCTACACAAGCCAGTTACTTTCAGTTCACAAGCCAGACTTGGGACTAGTGCCGGCAATGCAGGCAGGTTACTCATTTCAAATACCTTTTATTGAACACTACGTTTATGTAATTGTGCCTTTTTTAGCGGTGGACGCAGGTTGTTTGGCTGGAGATGGTTTGGTTTATGAAAGCAAATCTGGTCTCTACAAACGTGTATATCAGTTGAAATCAGGAGATATCGTTCATACAATGTATGGCGAGTCCGAAGTTATTATGATTTCTGACAACTCAAACGAAAAATACAGTAAGTTGTTTAATTATTGGCTACTTCCATTGGAACTATACCGGAGTTTACACCGTTGTCTGGCGCATGTTCCAAGACCTATACCATTCAAAAGAGTATCGCATTCGAAGTCATACTATGTATTTCCTAATTTTATAAGTCGATGCCACTAGATCCGGGCAAAGGTTCGGGAGCTTCTCTTTAGGCAAAATTGCACTGCGGTTTTCTAAGCAAGGAATACTTGTATCGCAGCGACACTTTCAGTGTAGTAAGAACATTTTATTGTGAGTGAAATGGCATAAGAACGACATCTCTAACTGTCTTCAGTCGTCTGTCTGATCGATTTCAAAATGAGCTAAAACGCCAAAACGAGCTATGTTGCAACGCGTTTTTTACCATCAAGACAAAGTCCCATTGTAAACGAGCTAGTGCGTTGGATTCAACGCGAGTCAGTCTGCCCAGAACAATGTCGTTGACATTTCTAGTGCACTCCTGGAAGACGACTGAAGCCATCGCTGAAGAGATCCTTTTTTTTTTTACGTTCGCGTTCGTTTTCAAATGCGATTTTCAGGCCTTTAATTCTACTTTTGGAATATATTGCAATTCATTGACCTTTTCACGTGAAAAGGTCAATGAATTGCAATATATTCCAAAAGTAGAATTAAAGGCCTGAAAATCGCATTTGAAAACGAACGCGAACATGAGTGTATTTTCGGTTTTTCTTCGCAGCTATATACGCGAAAAAGAATCCGAATACTCGCTTGAATAAAGAAAATTGTTTCCAACAAAGATTTAAGAAAATAAAAGCCATTACTAGATTCCCAAAATCAGGGCTTCCAAGAAAATCCAAACCCTGGTTTTCCACCACTTAGAGACCGCAAATAAAATTTTGTTCAAATTACGTAGAATGATAGAGCAAGTTGCTCTATCATTCTACTAGAGAGCTTGGGGACGTCTGATTTCGTAAAGAATTGTCACAATTCTCTACAAAATTAGACGTTCCCAAGCTCTCTACGACGTTTCTCGGTCGAACTACATAAAATTTATCGAGAACGAGAATTCGCGACGTATTTGTTTAAAAGAACCACGGCTTGGTCGATTTTGGCAAGCACTGTATTAACCCTAGTTTTCCAGCACCTACAGCCCACAAATAGAATTTTCTTCAAACTACGCAGAATGATAGAGTAAACAATTCTCTACAAAACGAGACGTCTTCGAGCTCTCAACGACGTTTTTTGGTCGAACTACATCAAGTCTACGATCCAAGATAGGATTTTTTTCAAGTCGCTCTCCCGCAATGGTCACTGCAGTGAACAAACTATCCTGCCCACATGAGAGTGCGCGTGATCGATTCGTCCATACTATCGGCATATCGGAGACACCAGCACTCTATTCCAATAGTTGTTTCATCAGTAGCTATTCTCGAACCACTATGGAGGTAAAGGGTTAATATGTACACCTTCTATAGATTTGTTTACAACCATCGAAACGGAAACTGGATACACGATTAGTTTAACACCACATCATCTGATTCCCGTTTTCAAAAATGGCATTCCAACCTTTGTTCATGCTGATCGAGTTCATCTGAATGATTTCGTTTACTCAAGTGATGGCCTAATCTCCTTGAAAATGAAAGTCAAAGCTATTAAACATGAAATCAAAGTCGGCTACTATTCACCGATTACTGCTGATGGTAGGACTATTTGGTGTTTGAGGGTTTTCTACAATATCGGCACTGTATTTCCTTGTTTATTTCTAGGTACAATACTTGTCAATAAAGTAAGTTTTTTTATGGACAGTTCCATAGTGCTGCTCTCATTCATGATCATTGCTTTTTCTTTCAGATTGTTGCATCTGTGTATGCACGTATCAATAACCATCATGTAGCTCATTTTAGTAATGCTCCAATGAGATGGTATTATCGAATTATGAAATATTTTAAAGTTGATGAACCATTTTATACAAGTGCAAATGGGCAAAAGCATTGGACACATGGCCTGTTAATTCAACTAGGGAAAACATTAATACCACAGCTCTTTGTTTAATCACAAACAAAAGAAAAAAGTTTAGTTTTTTAAACTTATGCCCCCTTTCTCATTTATATTATTCACTTCTAAATAGTGTCAACATTTAATAAATCTTGATAATCACATTCTTAAAAAAAGCTAAATCACACGCGTTGAAGGAGAAAATCAGAGTGTGAGGTTTTCAGACAGCGCATCCTTGCTATGTAGAAATTTGAGAGTGAAGGTGAGAGTGGACAAAACTCGTTTTGTTACTATACTGTTTTCTTGATTTTTGTAAATTATCTTTTATTCCATGATATAAATTCTTCTGATTGTAACCTTGACTGTTTGTTATTAAATAAATGAATGTAATGAGAGGAGAAGGATTTGATGATCAGACTTAATGACATCTTCAAAAAGAAAACTGACTGGCCGTATTTGCATTGAATTTCCAAAAGTAGAATTAAAGGCCTGAAAATCGCATTTGAAAACGAACGCGAACGTCAAAAACGTGAAGGATCTCTTCGACGATCAGCAATGGCAGAATTTCTACATTTCAGACATTCTACAAAATTCTATAGAATTCTACATTTTCCCTATGAATTCTACAACAACTTTTTCACAGCTAAAACATGATAAGTCCGAGTTATCCTCAAAACAGAAATCTAGGAAATGTATAGAATTCTATAGAATTCTACGTTAGCATACAATATATTGACCAACTTCGAGTCAAGGGGAAATGTATAGAATTCTATAGAATTCTATGTCTGTACTAAAAAATTCTATAGAATTCTACGTTAGTACAGACATAGAATTCTATAGAATTCTATACATTTCCCCTTGACTCGAAGTTGGTCAATATATTGTATAAGTATGCTAACGTAGAATTCTATAGAATTCTGTAGAATAGCTGAATTGCAATAACTCTGACATCGCTCTCGACGATGGCTTCAGTCGTCTTCCAGGAGTGCACTAGAAATGTCAACGACATTGTTCTAGGTAGACACCAGTACTCTATCCAATTTACTCATGAATAAGTGCGCGAGTATACGGGCAAAGGGCTCCCTATACTCACTACATGCTGCTGATCATAATTTTTGTTATTAAACTTGCAATTTGTTTCCACTGTGCAATAATTGAAAAGTACTTTCAAGCTTTTATCATCAATTGCAAGACTTGAATGATGTTCTCTAGTTTTATTAAGGTTCTCCCCGCGTCATTTATAGCAGAGATAGAACATCGAAAAAGAAAATCGAAGTATTTTTGTCCAGAATTTTTTGAGATGTTCTTGTATGGGTTTTCTGGAAAACTCCAGTTTTCATCCAGTCACATAATGACCCTCGAAAAAATAGACCGATCGAGTTCAAATTTTTACGCCAGATACTTTATACCTTATCTCAGAATGAAAATTTTTCTTCTCGAAAATATGCTTTCCCTCTCGAGATATTAAAAAAATTCTAAAAAATCTATATAGAAAACTGGTTTTTGATTTTAAAAACCTTCCCACATCGAAAGTTGAAATCGAAAATGCTTAAAAATACTTTTCATTCTGAGACAGGATCTGAAGTATCTGTGGTAAAAATTTGAGCTCGATCGAATCACTTTTTCGAGGGGTCTTAATGCGACTGGATTGAAGGAACTAGCGAAAAAATGTATAGTGAGAAAAACACATATTGTACCCAGGCTCTGTTTTTCAGAACATTTGCAGTGATTCTCATATCTCCACGAAAACAGAGTCGGAAAATTCTGCACGGCATCTCATTTTGAGGAACACACTTTTTTCTATCAGACTCTCTATAAGAAAAAGTTTTGGTTATATAGGAAAGGAGAGAAAGATTTACGAAACTAAAAGACTGAGATTTTCTAGACTTTTAAGGAAAACTTAAAAAGTTCATAAGTTTTTCAACGAATGTCGTGGATAGCTCGGAGTGATCACATTCTGTAGTCAAGACTTTCCTCTACATTAGACTATGTTCAGCTCAAAATGGAAGTTTTTTGCAAAAAGACGGGGGTACTCTTAATCACTTATTAGTACAGCCTGTACTAATAAGTGATTAAGAGTGCCAAATGAATTTCCTCCCTACGTATTTTTCAGAGAAAAATGACAGGATCCATTCTTTTCTCATTTTTCTACACGTAGAAAGAAAGCGCAGAATTTGCTGCATCAGACCCCATCAAGAACACAAAGTAAGGATGTGATTTTGATAGTGAAAATTTTGTTGAAAGAAAAAGATGTCAAAATTCGTTGTCCCAAAACTTATTTTCCTCTTGATTATTGTCACAAAGGTGCTCATTTACATAAAAGGTT